AGCGAGAGCGAGCGCGCGCGAGCGCGAGAGCGGCGAGCGCGAGAAGCGAGACGAGAAAGAGAGAGAGAGAGAGAGAGAGAGAGAGAACACCTTCATCTATTTAATATAGCCTAGTTGTAAACAAAAAACAGTTTAAAAGGGGAGGGATTAGTAAAATATGCATAAATAGAAAGAAAGAATGCTAACTAGGTAACATAAGAATAAACAAGTTTAAATGATTTGTTATTGGTTGTGATCATATTCTAAAGATGTTAGGATTATTGAAAAGTATACAGCTCCCTTTCATAGAGTGTTGAGAGCTGTATCCATAAATTCATTTTGTGCGTAAAGTGCACCAGATTGATGCATTTCACTTCGACATTAAAAAACCATGCCCCCGGACCCCCCTAGAGGAGGTGAGGTCCACCGCCAAATAAAGCAGGTTCAAATAATTAAATTGAATACATTTTCTTTTAGTAAACACTGCAAACGGGTCCCACAGACCCAAACAGTGCACCAAGGTTAAAGGTCAGCATATCATAATGTTAAAATGTGCTAAATATATACACTGCAAAAAACAACAAAAGTAAAAGTAGCTCACGACTTGTTTTATTTTTTGAAAGTAGCTCTCATCCTAAAAAAGGTTGGAGACCCCTGTTATAGAACGATACATTTGACAATTTTAAGCTTGACCTACCATTTTATTGGAGCGATGAGGAACAGGTGGGGCTTTGAGAACCCTGCTCTTTTGGTTTTCCCTTTCCTTCCCTAATCTTTTGGAACATTAAAGCATGTCACAGTAAAGGCAGAAAATACATGTATAAACCTGAAAATGATGTGTGTTTTTAAAAATGCATTCCATTACAATAACTAATAACATTAGGTATTGTATTTTGTTACTCCCCAAGCTCGTTCATGTGAAATGTTTTGGCGCAAAGGGATCACCATCTAATTTGAAACAGGGACTATGACACAGGTCGCCTCTCCCCAGGCGTCATCTTCTCCTGCCGCTCTCATTATTTGCACAAGTTATTAGGAAAGGTGCACCTCTGGCCTCAGGACACACACACACACATGTTCCTCGTGGCAGACCACAGACAGGTCAGGTTACAGTCCGACCGTCTCACTCCATTAGGAGCTAATGGGTGGTGTGATGGTGACACGGAGGGCAGCGTGGAGTCTGTGATCAACACCAAAGGACGAGATCTGAGGCGGCGATGACCTCCTGGAAGTCACACACCTTCGCTAAGAAAACAGCCTTATCCCCAGCAGAATCCCCTGCTTTTGCTTCAGCGAACTGACAAATGAGTTTGGAGAGGCGCCATCATTCAAAGTCGAAAGGTATGGCAATGGATCATCTAAGAGGAATTTAAATTCCAAAGTGCAGCTTTGTGAGAAACTTTAATGAAAAGCAGACGGCGAGGATTCCTTCTCCTTAAGCCTCCTTACCATGAGTCGTAATTACAATCAAACGGTGTTCGATGTGAGGGACGGGTGTTGTTAATTGAATATAATCAGATGAAGAGCTGTCAGATGGGGGGGGGGTTAAATCAAGGTCGAGGCTGTTGAGATATGATGAAATCAGCTCAAGTGACCGAATCCCGTGGGGCGAGCCGCTGCGGTCGCATCTGATCTGATGTGCCGGCGACAGAGATAATCTAACTGTATTCAATATACTGGAGAATATGTTAATGCATCACTGACATTCAACAGAATATATCAAAACACAAGGTGAGGACGAAGCAACGGGAACTCCTTTTACTTCCATTTAATTCAATAGCGCTGGAATACATCTCGTTTTTAAGAAGGTTATACTATTTATGAGCAATATACGCAACAAACTTCATATTAAAGTCATAAACAAGTCATCGTGTCAAAGACTTTTTGTTCTCACAACCTTCAGCAAAACAGACCCATGGGACTGGAACACACTTTTAATATCAATTATTTGTCAATATGAGATATAGGTCTTGCAAACAATATTTAGAAATATGATTTCTCGTAATGAGAAGACACGGGAAAAAACAATTTT